GACGGCGCTCCCTGCGTGCGCGGCGGCGCTCGGGCCGGGTGGCTGCGGGCGGGCGGACGCCGGGACCAGAGCCGCGCAGGAGCTGAGTTTCTGCAAAGTTTGACCTGGTTGCCTTTCGGATGCTGCAGCAGAGAGAGGCAGAGCCGGGAGCGCCAGGCGGCTGCGGCGCGGCGGCGGGGCTGACAGGCGACAGCACCCTCACAATGATCATAAAATAAAGGAAGAGAGCGGGGTGGGGGGGGGGGAGAGAGCCCCGCGCCTCAGCCCTCCGCCCCCGGCCGCCCCCCAGCAGCCCCGAGCGACAAGGAGGAGGGGGCGGGAGGACGGGGCGCCCACGTTGGCCCCAGACTCCTGTAGAGCCATAGGACGCTGCCCAGGAAAGGGGGTGGGGGCGCCCCAAGAACGTGTTCCTGGCCTCGCCAGCCGCCTGGCTGCCGGCAGCGGGGTCTGGGGCGTCCGCACGGCGGCGGCGGGCAGGTGAGTCGGCGGTGCTGCCCGGGTGGGGGCGTGCGCGCCAAAGTTCCCCGGCGGCGGCCCGCGAGCCCGGCGCACCGCGATCCGGGACCACTCGGGGCTGGAGAGGGGAGGCGCCCGAGACTGCTGGGGGGAGGGACGGAGTTCCACGGCCCCAGGGGCCAGCATCCCCGGGTCCCGGAGGGGGCGCGCGTCTCCCCGAGCTGTACCGAGGGGAGGCGGACACTGCGCCCCCGGGGAAGTGGAGGGAACTGACGAAGAAGGGATGCCTGGCTCTGGCGAAGAGCTGGGGTGAGGGGCGGGGGAGTGCGTGGCCACCTCCACGCTGCCCACTGCAGTGACAGCTGGGCCACCTCCCCGCCCCCAAGGCGGGAAGGTGTCAGCAGAGATGTCACGGGCGGCGATTATTCGCTGGTGCGCGCGATCGTACGGCCGACACTGACGGGGCGGGCGAGGGGGGCCACCGCCTCCGGGGAGACCGCCCAGACCTGCGCCGTCAGCTCCGCACACCAGTCGCCGTGCTCCCGCCGCCCCCCGCTGTAAAGTTCTGCCCAACTTTGAGACGGGCCCTGACGCCCTGTCCCTTCCACCTTCCACCAGGTTCTCGGGAGACCGCGACGAACCAGGCGGTGGCGGCCCGCACGGAGTGCCAGGGCCCGCACGGTGACAGCGGCAGCCGCGAGGCGACCTACAGCTCGCGGGCGCTCGCCTGCGGGAGAGACGCGCCGCGCCGCGCGGGGGCGTCCTGCCTGCGCTCCTGCCCGCGCCCGCGAGTGGGCTCCGCCGGGACCCCCGGCCTCTGGAGCCCGGGCTCGCCTCCTGGAAGCTGCGGGTCACGGCTCGCCTCCGGGGCGCTCGGATCTTCGCTTATTGAACAGAAAAGGCTCTTTAATTGACTGGGCTCCGGCGGGCGAGCGGCCGGTGTGTGTGCCCAGCAGCGTGTGCGGAAGGCAGAAGGGCAGGAAGTCGGTTTTCTGCAGGGAGGGTGGCGGGACCGCGCAGGCGACCGAGCCTTCCTTATTTATGTGTCAGCCAGCGGTCGCCTTCATCCGAAGACCCTGGGGAGCGTCTACAACCTGCGTTCCCCGAGCGTGAGGCACGAAAGAACTGGATGCCAGAGCAACATGATTATCAATTAAACTCCAAACTTTGCTTTTTTTTTTTTTTTTAACCCAAAGAATATCGGTGGTTTTTGTCCACTGCCAGGAGAAGAGAGAGCCAAGAGCTCTTGAAATGCAGGAAAATCCTTATTTATAAACAGACCCAAGTTAGTGATATGCAAAACCCTTCTACTCGGTGAATTTTCTATCCTATGGATACCGATCTTGAGCTTTGAGCCTGGCGAGCCTTCTGCACTGGGTCCAGCAGCCTCGGTCCTTTCAATGCCTGGTCTTCTCTGGGATTGCTGGCCTTTCCTGGAGATCAGAGCGGTCCTCTGTGCCATGGGCTGTATTCAGAGCATCAGCGGTAAAGCCAGAGTGTTCCGGGAAGGTATTACGGTGATTGATGTGAAAGCCTCCATCGACCCCATACCCACCAGCATCGATGAGTCCTCCAGCGTGGTGCTCCGCTACCGGACACCCCACTTCCGCGCCTCTGCCCAGGTGGTCATGCCGCCCATACCCAAGAAGGAGACCTGGATAGTTGGCTGGATTCAGGCGTGCAGCCACATGGAATTCTACAACCAGTACGGGGAGCAGGGCATGTGAGTACCATGTAGGAGCAAAGCTTGAGGACTGCTGGGTTGGTGGATAGCTGGGTTGGGGTGCTTAGGCGCCTCGGTTTGTGAAGGAGAATGGGATAGAGAGACCGTTTTCAGAGGATCCTTATCAGAGATAGGGGGACGCTTTAGGTGGGCATGGAAGTGGCCTCTGAGTCCCGGGTCAGATAACTCTGTGGAGGGTCTGTCCTGAATGGGGTTGTGCATCCTGGACCTGTCCTCTCTCTGGCTCCGGGCTTCCTGGGTTCTTTCTCTGCACAATGCTGAGAAAGCAGAGGAACATTGCACCCTGTGCCTCTTTGGCAAAGCAAGTGTGCCATCTGCCCGTGGAACTCGGTGCCGTCGGGGTCACCAGAGAGGCTGAGGCTGTGCCCTCTAGGCTCAGGCCTCCAGGATTGTGTGGCAGCTACTCAAGGAAGGAAAAGGGGGCCCTTTGAAGCCTCTTTTAGAGTTGTGATTGGACTTGAAATTGACTGCCCAAAGTTGTAACAGTACCTTGTAGCTGGGCTTGAACTTGGCCCTCCACTGTTTTCAAATGCTATCAGGACTTGAGGGAATATTTGGTTGTGTTTGAGGGACAGGTTAGTTTAAAAATTCTATTTACTTCACATTGTAAAGGGTTGGTTTAAAGCCCCCATTTACTTCACATGCTCTCTAAGGGAATGACTTGATGCAGACTTCAAATGCCAGCCTCCCAAAGGCCCTCAGTAGGAAAAGGTTAAGTGAAGTCATTGACCTCTTCTCCTCATCATGGTCTCTGAAGGGTCCTTAAAATTGCTGTAGTTCCTGATTTGCCATGCTGGGCCCTGGGTCTTATTTTCTGGTGCACTCCCTGAGCTCGGAGAGGCATTTCCAAAAGGAGATGGAAGGGAGATCTGCCTTGAAGTGCCACTCTTGAATAACATGTGGGACAGCTGTTGCTGACCGAGTCTATGAAAATGACTGTTTGCATGTAAGAGTTCTCTTCTGAGAGGGCTAAGCAGGCCCAGGGCAGCCCTCTGTTAGTCCCACCCCACCTCCGTGACCCGCTGCCAGCACTAGCCCTCAGCCTCTCTCAACTTCCCCCCCCCCCACCACATCTTCACTTCCTGGTTCCACAGGCCAGGGACTAGAGTTTCTCCCGGAGTTGGAATGTTTCATGGGCCATCTGTGAATAAGAAGGATATTGGAGTGGGTGGCAGGACCCTAAGTCTTCTGACTTCTCTACTTAATGATATTGAGATAATAAGGGAAGCAGGGAGATTACCATGAAAACTGAAAATGAGGGTATAATCATGATCTCCCCCAAGACGGGGCTTGTAGGGCGGCTCTAGACACTTAGTGAGTTCCCCTCCAGCACCCTGATTTCCATACTCAGGCCTCTCAGATCTCATTTGTTCTTATTCTGTGTGGACCTTACTTAGGACGACTCAAGTCCCAGAACTTTGGGGGACTTAGCAGGGCTTCCAAGACAATTCCAGGAAACAAAGGGTTTGAAGGGGCTTCTCGCCAGGCCTAGTCTCTTCCGTAAGAGGTGTGGGGAAGCCAGAGGGCCCTTCTTTCTGAATTTGGAGAAGATATAGCCACCAGGAGGAAGACATCTTGGGGAGAATCAGGAGGACAGGAAGCTGGTGGTGCGATGGGTCAAGTGTTGAATTGCTACCTGAGAGGTCAGCAGTTTAAACCCTCCGGCTACTGGTCAGGAGAAAGGTGAGGTAGTGTCCTAACCCTATGGGGCAGTTCTCCCTCCTGCAGGGTCGTGTCCCTGTGAGTCAGTGTCAATGGGATGGCCGTAGGCTTGGGTTTTGGGTTTGGCGGCTGAGACCGAGAGCTCAGGACAGAAGGAAAAAGCCAGGTACAGAATGACACAGCTCAGCTGCAGGCCTGTTTCTCTGTCACTGGCCCAGAGCCCAGGGGCCCTCCCAGAGCCCCAGCTTCCCCATCTGTGAGCAGGGAAACATTTCTAGAAATCTTCAGGTCCTGGTCTCTGTTGGCTCTGCATATGTTTGGGCACCCTTATTGGGGCAGGCGTGAAGCATCAGGAGACCTGAGGCAACCTTGTCCTTATGGGCAAGTCCTTGGTCCCTGGTTGGACCTAGCAGATGTTAGACTCTGCAGACAAGAAGACGTGGGCATGAGCCCAGACTCTCTTACTTTCTAGGGGTTTGACTCTAAGCAAGTTCTGGAGCCACTCAGAACCTCATTCTGCAAATTGGATCTAATACTCGTCCTTACCCAAGACTTCTCAAGGCAAGTGTTGCCAGACTGCACGATGAGAAGCCTACAGTGAATACTTAATGTACACGCTTATCGTTTTTAACATCATTATTATGTGATGATCATTCTACCAGATGGGGAGTGAACCATGCTATCTGTATTGAGTTGGGGATCATACTGGAAACTACAGAAATGGGACAAATGTAAATTACTCGTTGTCAAGCATTTTCTCTCCAACCCAGGACTTCCTCTTTCACACAGGGCCCACTCCCTGACTTTTATAATTTTAAAAATAATTTAAATCATGAAGGATTTTGCTTGTATGTGGTGAAAGGCCATTTTCCATCTCCATTCTCACTCAGTGTCTCCCTTCCCCCTCCTCTTCTCAGGACATGCCTTTCAGCACTAGAGGCCCCCACCAGACTGAGTCCTGCCCTATGCATGAGACACACCCCATTTCCTAGGGATCATTCATACTCTTAGGATAGAACCAGACAAGGGCAGGGCAGAATATGAAGTACCCCGGAAAGGTTGGCATGGAGCTGTGGCAACTGGGCCCCCTAGCTCTGGGGCCTTGACATGTATCTGCCTAGAGCCTTAGTTGTGTCATCTGTGAAGTAGGAACAAGTATAAAATGTCACCTGAGGCTGCTATGAGGAATCAGTGAGAGGACAGAAACCAGTAATGGCTGTGTGGCTGAAATATCTGCTCACTTTCTTATTCCTATTGTACTTGATCGTATTCACACACTGGATGATCACAGGGCAGTTCCTAGTCCATGGACTGCAGGGCTCTGCTTTCAACCAGCAGCCTCTGGAAATAAGCCGGGCTCTTTCAGAAAAAGCCTGCACTCAGCCTCCTCCTCCTCCTCCTTGAATGTACGTAGAAATATTTGGATGTGTCTTAAAAGCTTCCCGTTTTTCCCTGTAGCAGGCCTCCTGTGATAACCACTGATTTTCCTGTTTTTAATCTCTGATGGTTTGAGAGAACGTGAAATGTGCGGAGTTGGTGGGGCTAGCCAGAAGCCTCCACCAACCTGGAATTGTCCCCTTACTGTGCCCAGGCTGTGCCTGTCCTTGTGGTAGGGACTGTCCTGTGCTTTGTGGCACGGCTGTCACCCCCCTTGGCCTTGTCCCACCAAATGCCAGCTGCACCTACCAACTCCCCAGTTGTGACGACTAAAAATGTCTCCAGACATGACAGAGAAAGGGGAGGGAAGTGTGGACTTGCCCCTGGTTGAGAAGAATTGGACTAGCCCCAGATAATTGGAAATGTTGATGTTAAACCCACCCACTGAACTTTAGTGGCTCCAGGTCGGGACAGCCAGGTGGCAAAAGGCTAGGTTAGGGCTTTCGTCCTTTACAAATGGGCCAGATTCAAAATGTTCATTCCACATACTTAACTGAAATCCATAATACCGCCAAACATTATCCCAGCTTGAGATTAATCTCTAATCCAGGAGGTGAACTTTGTAGAATGACATTTGGAGTTTGAGATGGAATAATAATTTTTAAAAACCACTTCAGTGATACCCTGACTTTTACAGAGGAGAGCTGTAAAATAGTGCATTTTTTTCCATGCCAGCTTGAGAAGATTCTATATGGTTTTGGGTCCAACCCACATTGCTTTTAAAGCCATCCCCCCTTCAAACTGTTGGAGACACCTGCCTCCACAGCCCCGTCCTCCGCAATTCCTCAACCGCCACCTGTCAGCTGGCACAGAAGCTTCTAAGTGACAAGTCACAATTTCTTGCCTGTGTGGGAGAGGCTTCAAGTTGCCTCTGGTTCGCCCTTCTCTGTAGCCCGCAGAGAACCTGGCCCAAGGCCAAGGTCAAGGCCAGTTTATGGGTCTGGATTCTACCAAAAGGCATCTGTGGAGTACAGGGAAAAGCAGCTGAAACAGAGAGGGCCTCTCCAGATTGACAGTCCCACCTTCCTGTGCCTGTATCCCTCAGGGTCGGAATCCCACTAGCCAGTCTGCCAGATGGTATAGTAATGCTTCGTATAATAATGCTTCCCTCAAAAGATTGTCCTTACCTTTAAATGAGATAATGCCTGACCAGTACAGGGCCTGATGCATGTGGAGCTCTCAGCACGTGGTCACTTCTAACTCTCCAATGTGTTGTTGGTAGGTGCTGTTGAGTCAATTCTGACTCATAGGAACCCCATGTGGCAGTGGAGAGCTGCCCTGTACAATTTCCTAGCCTGGTCATTATGGAAGCAGATGGCCACCTCTTTCTCCTGCAGACCAGTTGGTGGACTTGCACTGCTGACCTTTCAGGTAGCAGTTGCTTAACCACTGTGCCACCAGTGCTCTTTAATAGACTAACTGTAATTATCAATAGCTTATTATCCATTTTAACAAGGGGGGAGCCTGAGATGATGTGAGAATAGTGCTGTGGGGTCCCTCTCTATCCTCTCATCATGTCTTCCCAAGGGCTCCAGGAAGGAACCCCGGGGGTATAGTGTGTTAAGTGTTGGACTGCTACCTAAAAGGTCATTATTTTGAAACTATCAGGTGGTCCCCAGCAGAAAGACGGGTTGTCTCCTCCTATTATAGAGATTTCTAGCTTTAGAAGCCCAATGGAGGCTATGAATTGTAGTCATTTTACTGCCAGGGTGTGTATGTGTGTGGGCTGTGTGTGTGTGTGTGTGTGTGTGTGTATGTGGTGTGTGTGTGTGTGTGTGTAAGGGCCCCACAAGATTTTCCTTTCTTGATGAGGCAACATTGGGCCTCTCCAGACTGAAGCCTCTTACCCAAGGAGCCTTGCTCAGCTGCAGAGGATCTGG